GCTACTCCTGGGACTTCATTTTTTTTTTCCGGTACCAGGAATAGAACTCATGACCTTGCGCTTGCCAGGCAGGCCCTGTGCCGCTGAGCTAAATCCCCAGCCCCAAAGAAAACTCACTGTCACTCTTTCTTTTTTGTTTTGTTGTGTTTTGTTTTCCAGTACCCGGAATCGAACTCACGACCTCACACTTGCCAGGCAAGCACTGTACCACTGAGCTAAATCCTCAGTCCTCCTGGGACTTCTTGAAGGAGTCCCCACACGGTAGTTGGGACGGCTGACTAGGTCTCCAGAAGGTTCCCGAGCTGGCGTCTGGGTCTCCACTGATGAGAATGGGTGGACCCCTAGGAGGTGGGCCTGCTGGGAACTGAGTCGGGACTACCCTGGGGGGTTCTTACTGGTCTCCCAGAGTGGGCAGGGCACCCCAGGAACAGAGAGGCTCCCAGGGGAGCAGGCTGCTATAGAAGAGTGACCCTGACCCCGCCCTCCTCCCCTGCTTCTTCTCTTGCACTATGTTCTCTGGTATGAACCCCAGCTGTGAATGTCATCCACCATATTGTGATGGGGCCCATTCTGGGCCTTCAGCCTCCAAACCCGTGACCTGAGCAAATCTCTTTCCCCGCAGAATACTCAGCCGCAGGAATTTTGTTACAGGGACAGTAAATGGACTGAGATACTTGTCCAGCTGAAGGACTGGCATCTGGCTGAACGCCACATGCCCTGCTGCGGGCATCTTACCCTCCACCTTGTGCTGTCCTTGGTTTTCCACAATTCTGAGTTAACAGTGGTGCAGCACATGGGAGGCTATTCTATGGGTGAACAGGCAGAGTTAATGGCATGAAGTCAGGGCCCAGAGCCATTCTGTCTCCACAGCCAGTACAGACAACACGGAGAACCTCACCCTCAGGGTCCACCCAAGTCAGGCCCTTGGAGGTGGTCACCAGCACCTGGGGGTGAGAGGAAAACACAAAACCTCACTTCCTGTTTCCAGGTAGAAGTGGAAGATGTGGCTGGCCACTGGCCTCCTAGGCCTCGTGGCTACCATTTCATTGGGTTGCAGCTTTCTGTGGCCTGTGTAAGTGGATTTTCCCTTTGATTTTTCCCATTTTCACTAAAATAACAGAGAAAATAGGTGCTGAGAATAATTCTGCTGGTGTTACAAGCAGCACAAGCCAAGTAAACCATGAGCAGCAGGGCTGGCTTTTCTTGCTCCTGGGGGCCTTTGTTTTCATCTTAGATGCACCTGAAAGTCAAACTTGAACTGTGAGCTGGAAATAAGGAGGAAAGGAAATAAACACTGAGAGGAATGTTGAATTATTCACATCCGTTACACTTATGAATAAGCTTTTTTGCTAAGTGCTATAAATCCTCATATTTCTCAGGCCTCTCCTGGACCTAGCTCAGATCAATCCTATAAACCCCAATAATTAACAAAGCATTTAAGAGCTAAGCAACCACCCGGAAGATAAAGACCCCCTTCACTGTTATTTTTCTGTGAAGTTTAAATTTATAAAACATTCACAGCAAGCATAAAGTTTCACCTTCTTAAACACTAAAGTTGCTAAAAGCAACTCCTGAAGTTGCTTGTCTCAAATTTGATGCTCTGCACCTGAAAGGAGCACTTGCTCCTCCTGACTTGTAAGGGTCACTGTGAATAAATACATTAATCTACACGAGCTGAGGGTGAGCCTGTCACTCATGCCCGAGTGTGCCTTATCCGAAGAGCTGACCCTCTCAGAGCCCAGAAGCCTGAGGACACATGGGGTTTATCCCTGCAGACACCCCACTTGCAGCCAGGTCCTGGTGCACCTGGAGAAGAGAGTGAAGGGCCCGCGGGTGGCGGCTCCTCTCCTTCCATGCGAAAGAGATTGTTCTACTGTCCTCCCCAAGTGACTGTGGATGGCGACCCAACTCTCAGAGCCGACAGTGCCACAAGGTGGCAGGGAAACTCTGACCTGTCCTCTGTCTGCAGTCACTGGGGACAGGGTGACATGCACGTGATTTGACTCCACTGTCACTCCACAGGGATGACAACTGCACACGTCCGGCCTCTGCAGGTAAGAACTGTTAGCTTCTTCTGCTGTGGTACTGGGTATCGAACTCAACCCCTTTACACTGAGCTCTTTTCTTATTTTTTATTGCAAAACAGGGTGTATCTAAGTCACTCACTTGGCCAACCTGGACTCGAGTTTGCAGTCCTCCTGGTTCAGCCTCCCAGAGTGCTGGGATGACAGGCACAACTGCCGCACTTGGCTCCGTTACCATTCTTGATGGGTTTGTTCCGGGTGTGCAACTACTATTGTTCATCTTTGGAGTTTAACCGCCCAAACCATTCTCATTGTTCTAATTTGGAGATCAAAAAACTGAGGCTCACAAGAGCTGAGTGATGGACCCGAAGGTCTAGGGTGAAGGATCTGGATGAAGCTGCATCCAGGGTGAAGCTCACATCCTCTGAGCCGCAGCTATTCTCTGAGACCGCCATGTCTCTGGCGGGGTCCAACATGAAGTTCGGCCAGCAGCACACAGCCGTTGTGGAAGGGAGAGGAGACCCACAAGCAGCACATGGACGCAAGATGGAGAACACATCGGGCAGGGAGAAGAGCCCAAGGGACAGCACTGGACCAGGCAGCCTGGGCATCCAGCCTTCCCATGGAGGTGGCCTTGGTGACCAGACTTGGGATCAAAGTAGGTAGAGCCTACTTTGCTCACCTCAGAGGTGATGGCTCCAAGACCTGGCTCTAGAGCACAGCCCACAGCCATTGTCAGGTGGGGGCTGCCTTCCGTCAGGCTCTGAGTGGCTGCACTGCTCTCTTTATAAAGGGCAGGGTAGACTCAGGGAATCAAGTCCCCCAGCCCTGCTGAGCACAGACGACAGAGCGTCACACACCAAGGCCAGGCGTGTTTGGAGAACCTGATTCATTATGAGGAAACCTAGGTCCGAGTGCAGCTCTCTGGGCAGTGTAGTCTGTATAGGGCTCAGCTTCAACAGCCTTCAGAATGGAATAACAGCCAGGGAGGTTGAATGTTTCTCATGCGTTTCTTGGCCATTCCTATTACTTCTCCTGGGAAGTGTTCATTCATTTCCGCCGCCCCTGGGTTGACTGCATCTTCTTCCCGAAAGAGTTAAAGCCATCATATCACGGTGATCTGAGCACACCCATGTTTATAGCAGCACAACTCATAATCCCTAAATCTTAGATGAAGAGATAAAGAAAATGTGGTGTTTACACATAGCGGAGTACCAGTCTGCCATAGGAAGGGTGACCTTGAGTCACTGGTAGGAAAATGGACGCACCTTGAGACCATAATGTTATGTGTAATAAATTATACACATGCGTTTGTATACTGCATGGTTTCTTTTATATGAGAAACCCAAAATATAAAGAGTGAAAAAAAAGATAGATAATAGGACTAGGGATGCCAAATTAAACATTTTTCCTATGCACACTGTACATAAAACTAAGACGAAGTTAAAAGTTTAGACACAACAAACTATTAATAGTAGCTAATAGGGGCTGGGGATTTAGCTCAGCGGCAAAAGCGCCTGCCTGACAAGCGCAAGGTCGTGAGTTCGATTCCCGGTACCGGAGAAAAACCAAAACCAAAAAAAAAAAAAAAAATAGTAGCTAATAATAAAACAGAACAATTGTAATTGCACACTATGATAAAAGCTGTGTGAAAGTGATTTTGCGCTCTCAAAATCTCTCACTATCCTGTATCACTTGTTTGTGTGTCTGTTTGTTTTGAAGTCCTAGGGATGGAACCCAGGGTCCCTGCACTGAGCTCCATCTCGAAAACCTTGTTATCTTGAGACAGCATTTCACTAAGTTGCTAAATTGCCGAGGCTGGGCTCAAATTTGTTATCCTCCTGCCTCAGCCTCCCATACCTGTCTGTGTGCTGTATTTTTTACTGTGGGGAACCTGCCCATGACTGGTCACACAGAAAGCTGTCCGTTCTCCTGAGTCAGAAATCCAGAGGTGTGTCTTCTACCCCTACGTCCACTCAAACCACAGCTGAGTGATCAGAGTTTGACTTCCTGAGAACTGCGATATTTTTAACTCTGTTATTCAACGTTTCTAGTATCAAGTACTAGTGGAAAAACATAATCAGGCACTACTATCATTCCTGGAACTGACAACTAGAGAAACTACTCCAAAATGCTTTCCAGATTATCTTTGACATTAGTTGTAGGACATGACCTTATAAAATTCGGCAACACTTCCTACAGATAATACCATTTTAAACAAAAACTCAACTTCGGCTCACACAGGGCCTGAGGACCCACACAGGGCCAGCTCACAGGGGTCACGTGGCCATCACCTCCCCCGAAGGAGGTCCGGAAATCTGAGTCCTGTTGGCTGCATGCTGAAAGGGACCACAGGAGTGGGTGAGCTGGTCAGCTCAGCCCAGGGTCAGGGTCTCAGGGGCCTGAAGTGGCCAGAGTCAGCGGACTCTGCACACCGCACTCTCACTTCTGCCCCTTAGAGAGCACAAGCCAGAGCTCCCCGATGGCAGAAGTCCACAGTGAAGGATGGGTACCTCCCAGCCAGGCAAGCGAATATCACAGGCCAGTCATCCAGTGCTGAGGGCCAAAGAGCTGGGACATCTAATGATGCTGGGTTAGACATCCATCTAATAGGGTTCTCAAATATAAGAATGCTATTTCCTAAACTGGGTGTGGTGGTACATGCCTGTAACCCCTGCACTCTGAAGGCTGATGCAGGAAGATCCCTATGAGTTGGAGGCCAGTCTGGGTTCTAGAAGCAAGTTCAAGGCCAGCCTGAACCACATGGGGAGTCCCTGTGTCAAAAAACAGTGCTGTTTTCCATAAACTGTAGCCACCTGCCAGATATGTTAAATTCAGTATTTTGCTTCCATTGTTTCTGATACTAATCAGGACTCTGAAACAATCAAAATCCCCTGCCTTTACCCACATCTCTTCGCTGAGGCAGAGCCGCCCAGAAAACATAACCCATAAAGCGTGCTCTGGGTCCCTCGGTACCTCTTCCAAGGTGGGGGCCGAGATCCCGTAGCCTGAGAGATGCAGGGGTTGCAGACTCTGGTCCAGGGCCTGGAAGAGCCCCTTGAAGCAGGCCTTATCTGCATCCTGCGGGAGAGTGTAGGTCAGCTCGCGCCCACTGCTGCCTCTGAGGACGGCTTGGGGGACGTAGGCCTGGATCAGGGCTGTAAGGCGGGCTGTATCCTTGAGACTGTGGGCTTCCGTTGCAGATGGCTGTCAGAAGAAAACCAAGTGAGGGCCAGGAAGGAGTCAGGGCAAACCCACGCCAACTAACTTCAAGTGCACGTAGGCAAGTTGCTGCAAAACTTGAGTGCAATACTGCATTGCGGCAACAAGCATTCCAATGATATGCTGCATATTTGCCCTTCTTCCTCTTTTGTTGTGTATGTGTACAGTCCTAGGTTTTGAGCCCAGGACCTTTACACTGAGCTACATATCCAGCTGCTTTTTATTTTGAGCCAGGGCCTCACTAAGTTACACAGGCTTGGCTCAAGCTTGTGATGCTCCTGCTTCAGCCTCCCCAGAGTGCTGGGATGACAGGCATACGGCACCACTCCTAGCATCTTCTTTGATTAAAATATAAATCCACAATGCTAAATCTGGCCAGGCCAGACCCCACACCCATCTCGTTATGAGCACACTGAAGCCAGCTTCCGGGGATCTGTGAGCCTGAGCTAGCTGCCTTTGTGCTCTGGGAAAAACACTCAGAGACCCAGGTTCTAGCCCTCAGGCTGCAAGACATAGGGTTGACTTCATAAAAAGGAGTGGAGGGCTCCCACCCAAGAAGGTAAGGAGTCCTCTCAGGTCTGTAGAATGCTTGTATTCAGCCTGGGCTAGAGAACAAACAAGTCAGAACCATGGCAGGAGGCTGCTACAGTTTAGATGCTTGCGTGTTCAGAAGTGGGGCTTTGAAAGGTGATGAGATCCTGGGCCACAATGGTGGGATCCATCCAGGTATGAGTTCAGTGCTAACTACACTAGTAGGATGTGGGGCCAGGCTGGAGGTGCTAAGTCATAGAGGTGTGACCTGGAAGGGCATATCTTGTTCCCAGTCCCACTTCTCTGGCTCTCTCTGGCTCTCCCCTGTTCTCTATTTCCCAGATGCCATGAAATAAGCAGCTTTTCTCTACCACAGACTTCCACCATGATGTTCCTGCCTTGGCACAACCAGCCATGGACTGAAACCTTGGAACCATGAGCCAAAATAAACTTCTCTTCCTTGAAGTTGCGTACTTCAGGTATTTTAGTATCAGCAACAAGATACTGGCCAACACAGAGCTCAAAGGCAATTCCTTTGCGGCTCATGAAGGATCAGACACCATCATCCAAAGCTGGGAGGTGACTCTCACAAGCCCCCTGATCCAACCCCATAGTTGCTGTCACCTGTTCCTGTGGACACCAGGCAATGGCAACTCGAAATGTGACATAGGTGCAGCCTCCCAGGTATGGCCACCACTGCTCTAGCCCCTCACTACTTTGCTTCCACCTTGTGGCAAGATCACAGCCTCCTAAACTGAGTACTATCCTCAGGCTGAGTGTTCCTAGAACACCAGGGCCATTGTACTTTCTTGGAGTTGGCACTGACAAGTCACTCCAGTGCCACCTGCATTTTCTTCTAGTGTCAAAATGAAACCTGGGATCCAATCCAAGACCACTACCTTGGCCCTGGAGAGGAAATGCCTTGACACTGCGGCCATTCTACAAGACAGGCCTGCACGCATCTGTTAGGAAAGAGGGAAGGACACTTCCTCTCTGGTGAAACCACAGGGCCCACGCTATTACCTGCTTTGCCAGCGTCAGGCTGAGCCCCTGGCCATATGTCTCCTTCAGGCAGAAGGGAGGCCCGCAGCACCTGAGCCGCCCTTGCTGGAGGATGGCCACGCGGTCACTGAGCAGCTCCGCCTCGTCCAGGTGGTGGGTGGTGAAGATGATGGTGCGACCTGGGTGCAGGCACAGGGAACGTCAGAACCAGCATCTGTCCTTCCTCACACGATTGAAAGACCACCAACAACATTTTGTGTGTTTGTTAGTTGTTTTTGTGAGACAAGGTCTTGCTGTGTAGCCCAGGCCGGCCTCCAATTTGCCATCTTCCTGCCTCAGATTCCTGAGCCCTGGGTTGCAGTCATAGCCATCACACCAGGCTTTTATCATCCATTTCTAAGGGGGGAAAAACTGAAAGAGACACTGTGGAAAGACTTTACCAAGGCCACTTTGCAAACTGGAGGCCTTGAAACACTTTGCTCTACAGCTTCCCCAAAGCTCCTGACTCCTATTTTCTCTGTTCCTTCCCTTTTAGAATAGGGAGCATCTACCAGGTCATGGCGATGAAACCAAGATGCAAAAGCCAGAACCCCTGTGTCCAGCGACCTTGCTGTCTAGATACAGAGGCGGTTTACTGCAGAGAGGTAGAGAAGACACAGACACATTAGAGGGTGGGTTTGGACACCTCTGTCTTCTCCAGTCAGATGACTGTCATCTGACTTACTCAAGGAGAGGGCCTCCTTCTACAGAAGTACCACCGTGAGAGAAAACCACACCTCATATTAGCAGTGAGGAATCTTTACAGGACCTTTGGGTGGGGGAAGGCAGGAGGGTGAGGAGGGAAGGGGAGGTAAAATGATGAACATGTGATATTCGTATGTGCCAATTCCCCCAGAGGAATGTAATTACCATGTATTGTGAACATAGACTGACAAAAAATAAACTAAAAAATCATTTGGAGCAAAATAAGACACTAAGTAGTATTTGGAGAGATATGCAATTAATGGAGATTCAACCACTATCTTTTTAATGCAATGCAAATATTATCAACCCTTCTGAAAGCAGCAGAATTTAATACAAACACGAAAATAGTGAGTAAAACTTTTAAGGATAACAGAGCAATGCGGGAAATGACCATGGTGTACATGCACGGCCCTCAGGATCAGGGATGAGATACCACACAGGTCCATGTATCAAAAGAACAGGACCGAAACACTCCCTCCCCGGAAAAGCGACAGCAGCCTCAAATCACCACGGTCTGCAGGGGTCAGTGGGACGGAGAGCAGGTGACTTGAATCCAGGGCCCTCGCAGGAGGACAGAGGTGTCCAAGTCTGCAGCCATGGCCACTTTGTGCAGAGAGAATGTTAAATTCATCCATGTCCCTGTGAATTCCAGCATCTTGTCTAGTTTTATTACCTTTCCTTGGGCAGCAAAGGCCTCCAATCAACCTTGGGAGAGCAGAGGCCTGAGAAGCTAAAGATCTCTGGGTGAGGTGCACTTCAGTTACGTAAAGAGAAGACAACACAGCCTTCAGCTGCCACTCTCTGCAGAGCCCCGTCAATTGCGCTGTCACTCAGACAAATGTACCGACGTTCCCGACTGCAGAAGCAAATGTGCAGGGGGAGAACACTAAACATGGTTTTAACTCTGCTCCACTGTGTATTTTTCAACAGTGGAAAGGGATTAAAATACGAGGACTCTAATTCATTGTTTAAAAATCCACTCAGGTAGGAAGCATGAAGTGCAGACCCGTGAGCAGAAGGGACCAGCTCCTTGCTAGAGGTGTGATGCCCTGTAGTTCTTGGATGCTGAGAAAGTCTGCTCAGTGCTTGCTTGGGATCAGAGCAGGTCAGATTCCTTCATTAGAGCTACCGCGCAGTCAAGATGATGCGCTCTGTGAGATGAAGTCTGAAAACAAAAGTCCACTCAAATCTAGGTTCCCGAAGTGGAGGGGAGATTGGTGGTTGCAGGGATGGTGAGGGTTGGAGGGAGGAACGGGAGATGTAGCCAAAGTCTCAGTTGTGCAGATGAGTGGATTCTGGAATAAACTGTGCAGCACCATACTGAGTGACTGCGGTTAATAACGACGCACTGTGTACAGGAAAAATGCTAAGAGCTAGGCCTTGAATGTTCTCTGCACACGGGTAAAACTAAGTTTTTGAGGTGATGGACATTTTGATTACCTTGACCTCATCACTTTACAATGCATGCTTGTAGCACAACAGGTTGCTGTATGGAATAAATATTTATAAGTTTCCTTGGTCAACTCTATCTCAATAGAGCTGGAAAATAAATAAACTTTCTGAAAGGATTAGTATAAAGGTCACAGATGTTTGATCCATGAAGGTTTCTCAGTGGATGTTGTGGACAACTTGAGAGCCATCCTAACCCTCAGAGGATGACGTCCTTACACAGTTCTCCTCAGACACTACTTTCACTGGCTCTCTCCCTGATTCTGACAACGATTCTACTCCTTTCCTCGCAAAGCTGTATCTCCCGCAGTCACCTTCACTTGTTGACTTTGGTAACGATGACGATGACCTGTCATGAGTCGAGCACACACGTATCAATACTAAGCTCTGAGCTTTCATGGAGAGCACATTTACTTCTCACAAAATCCTGGGAGGTGGTGTGATTGTCTCCACTTCCTAATGAGAAAACTGATGCTCAGAGGAGTTTGACCCTTTCTCCTGGGTCACACAGGACACGCAGAGCAAGCCAAGAATCTGGAACGGGAATTTAGCTGTGGTGTGTGAATTTGTTCCAGTGGCTTCTGCCTCTTCACTGGTCTTCCCATGGGAGGCACAGAAGCACTGGCCCCAGGGCCGAGAGCTCCAAGTATCATTCACTAAACAAGAAATCCACATGCAAAGTCCCTGGTAGGCTGAACACCCAACATGCCCACGCTGTGACAGAAGAATCTACTTGGCAGGTGACATTGTTTGTGCGTGATTTTAGATCTGTCTCACAAAGCTGCAGCAGGCACCTGAAGGTCTGAGGTTGTTCGCAGAAGTGGCTATATATTTTGATTTTTTGAGGCACATTTTTCTTTTAATACTACCCACCTAACCCACTTGCACTTCAATCAGCTCAAGGACAGAGCCAAAGGAGCCTTCAGAAGACAAGACCAATGAACAACACAGAGACAAGACCTCACGTCTAACATCAAGTTGGAGAAAGCTCTCTTTTCCTCAGACTCACACTATCTGTTTTTCTCTCCAAACTAAGCTTCATGCGGATTCCTCAAGTGTTTCTGACAGAAAAACCTTTAGGAATCTGCCTCCGATTTTTAAACGAGAGAAGTGGGCTTGCCCCATTTAATCCACAGGACAACCCACAGGTATATGGGTCATGGATCTGTTTGTCTATCTCTCATCCATGTTCTTTACCAGACCCCACCCAAGATGGTGGGGAAATCACTAGTCCAGTTTAAAGTAGTTTCATCTCAGAATGTAACCAGTTCCCTTACGTGGCAGTCTGTGTCTTGCACCAAAGTTTTCCATTTCCTCGTTTCTGTGCCTTCTATGTCTTTCCCCAAAGAGCACATAGGTCCATGGTGCCAGGAGGCTTGGGGTGGGTTAGGATATTTGGGCACAATGTGATCAGCCCCCTCTGGTCTCCGGGTGATGTTGGAGCCCATGTGGTGCTGTCCTCTCCCCACCTTAGCACCTACAGTGTGGCCAGGGATGCCCCAAGGGGTCAGCACTCACTATCTCCACCACATCTCTATCCTCACTGTCAAAGATCCTTGTGATCTTTGTGATCCTTTGATCCTTTGACAATCTACCCTGGATCCCACCCGTCCAGCTCCAAGGATCCGCTCGTCCTTCAGGGGCTGCACCCTCCATCCTCTTCTCCCTAGAAGCCCAGCACTGGGAGAGGACTGGAACATCTCCCTGGACCCCAGCAGTGTGCTCAGCCTCAGGAGTCTGATGTGGCCGCGGCAAGGCTGAGGACCCAGTGCAGCCCACAGGACCACACTTTTGTCCTGCAACTTCTCAGCCCACGCCCAAGTCCAGAACAGAGTGCAAGTCCACGCTGCTGGCTCCGTTTTCCAGATGGCTCCTCTATCTTCTCCTTTTATAATTTCTCTAAAATAGTGGATGGGAAGAACAGGACCGTTCCCACAGCGCCCATCCTCCTATTCTCCCCTGTTACTGTGCCAGCCTTCCAGTTACTGTGCTGGGCTTGAAGGGCCAGAGCATCTTCTGTGAGTCTCAAAATAACACACAGCCTTTGGGTGCAGGCCCTGGGTGCTCCAGAGATGGAGATCCCTTCCCCAATCTTTCTCTTCACTTTCCTTCAGTAGCAAAACCTCACCTACCCCCAGGGAGGCAGGGCCTTCCGCTTAGGTCTGGCAAAGCGCTTAGACTCAGAAAGAGGGAAAAAAAAGCAAAACAGGATTTTATAAGATTCTGTGTTCATCTTGTCTCTGAAGCATCTACATTCGTTTACCAGCACCAAGATGTTTCAGGACCACCCAGGTTTCTTTCCAAAGGAAAATGTTTCTAACAGAGTTCCTACAGCAGCACTTCCTAGCTGCCTGGAGAGCAAAAAGAGTCGGAAACTGGAAGTTAATAAGTGTCCATACAATGCCCCTGACTGCACATGAGCAATAATGGAGATGAGAATATATGGACCTGCTATGCCAGAGACCCTCATTCCCCCCACTGAAGTTCCTCTACAGCTGTGAGCACATCACACACCCATCTCTCTGTACCTTAGCTTCCTTATCTGAGAAAAGCACTTGCTATAGTTTGCATCTAACTGTCCACAAAGGCCCATCTGAGGAAGGTTCCATCACCAGCCTGCGGTACTGCTGTAAGGGATGGAAGCTTTAGACGATGACACTTAGTGGAAGGAGGACACTGGGGAGGACCTCACCTTTTTCCCGTCTCTCTCACGGCTTCCTGGCCACCCTGATGTCAGCATCCTGCTTCTCCCTGTGCTCCTGTCATGAGGTACTGAGCCACGACAGGCCCAAACAACAGGACTGAAACCTCTGAATCCATGAGCCCAAATAACCTTTCTCCCTATGGCTTAAGTTTCTTGGGTATTTTGTCACAGCATCAGGAAGTGGACTAACACGGGAAGGTCTCTCCTAAATGATCCCTGACAGCTTTCTCTAATGAGCTGTTTCCAGAGTGGGCCAAAATATGGGACCACTGAAAGCACGTGTGTGGTGATGTTCACTGATGGTGTCATTGCTGATACTGAGTTCAGTGGTCAAGTACAGGGTAAGTGATCTGACTGAACGCTACAGAGAGGACAATCTAATGACTCTAAGTTTTCATGAAGATTGCATTTGCTCCGCAAATGACAGCAAGTCCTCAAGGGGGTTTGGCTGGGTTCTTCACACACAGTAACCCCCTTTCCCGTGCATCAGCAGCCCAGGAGAGAAAGGGGAATAGAGCCCAGCTCCTACCTTCCCGGTACTTGAGCAGGATGTCCCAGAGGCTGCGGCGGGAGCAAGGGTCCACCCCGCTGGTGGGCTCATCCAGGACCACGGTGCTTGACTGGCCCAGGAAAGCTATGGCGATGGACAGCTTCCTCTTTGTGCCTCCAGACAGGGCCCGGGTTTGTTTGTGCTGGTGCCGCATTAGCCCGACATCCTCAAGAGTTCTGAAATGACAACAAAGCTCTCAGACTTCTCTCTGAACACCTGAAGGCTTTGATCTGAATTTTTACTTTATGCATGAAAGCTTACAGTGGCCAAAATCCATATAAGCCACAAATACATCAAAGGGCTTGGGCTGGACTCTACATAAGCATGTAAGCAGCGCAACCCTCCCTGACATGCCAGTGACACATGCAATGGAATAAGGGTGATGAGGGTCAGCGACACCTGCCAAGTACAGCGCTGGGAAGATGCCCTGGTCTTCCCCTCTCTGGGGAGGCACCTGGCTCCATTGCACACACACTTCCTGATGAGGTGGGACCGGTGCCCCTGCAGGATGGGATGGAGCACAATGGTATGGCCAGGCCCTAGCACCATCAGGAGCATCAAAGCGCCAGCACTCACCAGAGAAGGCCTTGAGCTCCCTGGCCTACCACGCACCAAATCTGTAGTGCCCCACCTTCTGGAGGAGTCCAGAAGTTCCACAGCAGGACACAGGCAAAGCAGAAATCACTGTTCACCAGGAAAGCCAGAGCAAGCTTTCTCTTTTCAGAGACCTTTCAGTCTTGAGTACTCAGATGCCAGATCCATGTTGGTCCGAACACTACCCTGTGTGAAGCTCCACCTTCCTTCTCCTTTCTCACAGTGTCCCCTCTTCACCCTCTGGGCCCTGTTGACCCCCATGAATGTTTGCCCCCCCACTGTGAGTCCCCACTAGTGCTGAAGACCCCATGTTTCTCGGAAGCCTTCCCCTGACCTGTCCGACCCCCTGGGTTTCAGGCCTGCATCACGTCCTGAGCACCCGGAGCTGATGCGCCCTTCCCAACCAGGGAGGGCACACTGGCGCTGGACACTTACAACGGTGCTGCACAGCCAAGTTTCAGTGTCACAGTTTGTGTCTCAATGTCCTGCCAAAGCCACATACCATTTTAGAGGGGGCTTTTCCAGAGGTGGCTGAATTTAGAGTTTGCGATGATTCATGGTTAACTGCTAGGATCACGGGTGCTGGGATGAAAGGTGGTGACTGCTGGACCAGTCCACTGATCGGATCCGCACTGCTTCAATCCCGGTAGATGGGATATAATCCAGTGGACAGAAAGGGGCTTGTCTCACTCTCTCTGTTGCTGCTTTTGCTGTCTCCTGCTGCCATGAACAGCTGCCCCTCTGCCATGTGCCCCCACCCCCTGCCGCCTTGGAGCCAGTGACTGATTACGGACTGAAACCTCTACCAACTGTAGCCAAATAAACCTTCCCTCCTTAAACTTTGGGTGGCAAGTATTTTGTCTCAGCCACAAGAGAAAAGTAAACACATTCAGAACAGCTGAGTCCCGGAACATTCCAGAATCCTAAGCAGAGACTTGAGGGAGACCCAAGGACTCACTGGCCTGATGCCCACATCAATTTTTCATGTCTATTTCTTCATTCACACACTTTCATCCTGACAGAGAAAGAGCTCCAGTCAGCTTCTCAGTGTCCAATTTCCAGCACTCGTGGTTTATATCAAGCCCATGTTTCTAAGCACCCTTGCTGCTGATTCCGCCCCAACCTAAATTCCCAGAGGTATGGATGGCCCATGCCCTGCTTTTCAGGTGCACCTGTAACCTACTGGTTAAAATGGGTCTCTAAAACTTAGAATTCTTCTTAAAGAGGGGCTGGGGATTTAGCTGGGGCTGGGGATTTAGCTCAGCAGCACAGCCCCTGCCTGGCAAGTGCAAGGTTGTGAGTTTGATTCCCGGTACCGGAAAAACAAACAAACAAAAAAAAAAAAATTCTCCCTAAAGAGAATCTTTCTCCAAGTTTCCTCCAGTGGAGAGTTAACTGCTGCCCAGGCCTGAGGCCCAGTAGCATTCAAAGCTTTTTCCAAGTTTCCTCCAGTGGAAGGAAATCTTTCTCCAAGCTTCCTCCAGTGGAGACCAAGTTTCGTCCAGTGGAGAGTTAAGGCCTGAGGCCCAGTAGCATTCAAAGCTTCCAACCATGGGGCTAAAGCTTAGCTACATATCCCTATGCAGACTCCTGGGCTTTTGTTTTACACCTGCCACAAACTGGCCCTCTTCTGTGGTTCAAAGGGCAGTGAGCTAGCTGACCTCTTCATCTGGCCAAACTGTAAATAAACTCGTTTGTCCATTTGCAGGGACACTTCTCCTATTTGGTTGAGAGAAGACGAACAAAGCCAGTGTCCCAGACATCCAGGGCCAGGATAGGGCCATCAGGGAGACTTGCGGAGGACAGGAAGACTCGTGGTGGACAGCGTCCAGATTGAAAGGAGGACACTCAAGTGTTCTCGGCTGCATCAGGCCACTGCCTGGACTTCACAGTCTCCCAATCCTGCCCGCTGGGTGCTTCCACATGGCAGATGTGAATCTGCTAAGCCCAAGCCAGACACGCTGACCAGACATCAGTGCACAGAGAAGACAAGAAAACAAGTCAGCAGATTCAACTACGCTCAAACATGCAAGCTCTGGTTGCATTTGGACATGGAACCAAGCCCCTCTTCTGTTTGTCCGTCCACTAGCAGCACTCAAGTTGCCTACGCTGCCCTGCTGGACAGCCTCACAGCACAACCTCACTGGAAACCCAGGCTAACAGGCCACCTCTTCCTTCCTCTTAGCCTGGCCTTGGAACTCGCAGTGGCCTGCACCCCCTTACCTCTTCCACCTGTGTGTTCTGTGCCCACACCTTCACCACACAGGTGCCAGAGAAGGTGGAAGACAAACATATGAATACATCTTAAGGCCGAATGTGCTCGTCATTATTTTAATTCAGTAGAAGGTGTAATGATGAGTCTATGTCATTCTCGCAAGACTGCATAGGGGACCTGCAGGTGCCAGTGCAGACAGCGAGCATCTGGGGAGGGGGCAGGCACTCGGCCAGGTTCTGCTCCTGGAGACCTGGGTGCTGTGGAGAAATCACGTGTCTGTAACCAACTGGAACACAAGGGGGGAACATTCCAGAGCCCCCAGGAAGAGCTGCAGGGAGCTCACACAAGGTTATGAGCTGTGGGTCTTGGGCAAGTCCAACTCAGAGTAGAATCTTCCACTCAGATCACAGTGCCGTGGAATCTAGTGATGAATTTAAAGAACGTCGTGTATTCATCTCATAAATTCTCTCCACAGGAGGAATCCCAGTAAGTTTATTTTTTATACTTTTAGCAATAGGCCTGCATAATCATAACTAACATTTATTAGACACGTATCATATACTAGGCACTATTTTCGTCCTTCATACATATAAATTAACATAATTCACACACCCTGCCAGAGGTCTCTTTGTCATGAGAACCATGTGGTATTTGGGGAACCCAAGTCAGATATAGAAAATGTTGTTGTAAAAAGAATTGTAAGCAAGTGGCAGAGCTGGATGCTGAATTCAGGACGTGCCTTTGCCATTGCTGCACACTGGGGTCCACTAGGTCACTGCGGCACCTGCTGGATCCACCTCTCCACTGCCTCTCCCCCATGCGGGCTGGAGTTTTGCCATGGACAAGGCCGTTATCTCATGTTATCTGCTTCCTAGAACAGACTGCACATCCATGTGACACTCACCAATCTCAAGGAAGGTCAAAGGTCTTGGCTTGTTCTCTGGGAAAGGAGGTATTGCTGGGACCCTGAGCCCTAAGCAGTCTGCCAGGGATGGTAAAACAACATCTGAAGACCTATGCTTGGGACAAGAACAGAATTCTTGCAAAATCCACTCATTTCCATTCTTCTGTTTTCTACTCACGATTCAGACACCTAGATTGGACTTTAAAGAATAAAACTGTGTGTAAACACTGACCAAATGTTTTTATGCAATAAGTTTTTCTTTCATTGTAAGGTCTAGGTTATGTACAAGCTAGTATTTTTCTAGTTATTGATCTATAACATATCAAAAAGAAGAAAATAATGCTTGCATGTCTCATTTTCCATATTCCTTCTCATAAGGCCAGGAAAACTCCCTAATGAAAGAACTTTGCTAGGTAACAGGAAAAGGGTGCAAAGCTTTTTTCAGGTGAGGTCCCAACTGTGTGCCCTATAGTAGGTTTTAGATGCTGCTCTTGGGTCCTCCATTCATTCAACAAATGTTTATCAAACCCCTCAATGTATGGCACTCACCGCCTACAAGGTTTAGAGAAATCGAGTGAATCTTGCCTCTGATTCAAGAAATTGGGGGCCTAGTGGGAAAAACAGACAAGTAACTACAGTAAAATACAAGAGAGGCAAAGTCAAGGCCCAGGTGTTTGGGGGATTCCTCTGACTCCAGAGACAGCAACATGAGACATTAGGCACAGGGGTAGCATGACGGGGTGGGAGAGATGTTTGGACAGTGCACTCCAGAAAAAGCCAGGACTCAGGGGAAAGAATGGTACACGGAAGGGACAAAAAGAGTCTGTTCCTAAAGTACAAGGAAAACCATACGATGGCCTCAGCTAAGAAGGAAGAGACAGGCTTGGGCCAGACCACCTACCCATCGTAAATCCTCTTCTCTGAAGGCCCGCTCCTGCTCCCTCAGGGTCTACGCATGGGATGGTGACTCACTGTATCTCACGGTGACCCCCACTACATCTTTCCCCACTGGCTCTAAAAGCCCAGCCCTGACTTCCAGGCCATCAGGGTACCCACCCACTACCTTCATGGTCGCTCCTGAATCCGCCCTGTGCCCTGTGCCTCTCTCCGGTCTTATTTCTGTCTCTATTCTTGAGGCTCTCACTACCCAGGGTGGAACACCCGCTCCTCACCTCTCCTCATCCCGCTGCTCACACCCCAGACCTTGTCATCTGTGGCAACGGCATCTTCTCCAGGTCTCCAGCCAGTGCCCTCTCTTCTGCCCCACCTGTCCCCTCAGGCACCCTCTGCACCCAGCAATCACTTAACTCCCACAAGTCAACCTCGTATTGTTCCCCTTCCCCACAGGTCTTTCCCCGCTTAGCCTCTAAGTTTCAGTCAGTGCCATCCTTATTATCACTTCTCTCCACACACCCTGAAAAGCACTGATGCTGAACAAAGGTCCAAGCACTCTGCCTTGCATCCTGCAGTCCCGCGTGGGCTCAGGAGAGCTGATCCCTCCATGCTGCTTTTCCAGGTCCCTCCTCTGCCCTGCATGGGCCGCGTTCCCACAAGCCACCCCTCCCCCAGCTCACCCCATCATCCCTTCCCAGCTGGAAAGCTCGGCGGTGTCCAGACCTGATGCTGGGATTCCTCTTTCTGAAGCGTTCTTCTCCTGAGCTCACTCTCCACCCCAGTCTCAATCTCACTCTTCACTCCTGGGAAAATGTGCTACTACCAATCTTTCTCTTTCCCTTCTCTCTCTCTCTCTCTTTTTTTCTTTTTTGGTACCGAGAATCAAACTCAAGACCTTGTGCTTGCCAAGCAGGTGCTTGTGCTGCTGAGCTATATCCCCAACCCTCCCTTCTCTCTTTAGTTGGTTCCAATAAGATGTGCATCTGCTCCATGCTATTAAAATTGCCCTTCTTGGGCCAGCGATGTAGCTCAGGGCACAGCACCTGCCTGGCAAGCATGAGGTCCTGAGTTCGACTCCCTCTGCTCACTGAATCCCAAGGTCAAGTCTCGTCCCATCACTGGCCCTCCATAGCACTCTCACCTGATGGTGCCCTGCTCCTTGGTGGACCTGGTCCGCTCCCCCGCACTCCTTCCCCGTGGGTCCTCCTGTCCTCTTGGCTGGCTCCTCCTCATTCCTCATGAGCTTGGGGTGTCCAGGCCCCATCCCTCTCCCCCTCCACCCTACCTGCATGAATGCCCCCTTCAGTCATACTACTCCAGACCAGCCCAAGTCCCACAGTGTGCTCTAGGATGCCACATGGTAAATTTAGCTGCATAATCACTCCCCATGACTTAAAGGCCCAAGGACGGTCCTCTCTTGGTCACTACTATCTTTTCCAGGCCAGCATAAAGGTAAAGCGGTGCTGACCTGCATCTTGACAAAGGCTCCCTCTCAAGACTCCCTGAGGGCCACTACCTCCCCTGAATCCCGCTTCAACAAAGCTCCGAGTGAAGGAAAACAAGCGGTGCTACGGGAAGCTAATAAGAAGCATGTGGACTGTGAATCTGATGTTTTCAGTTTTCCTTCCCTCTAATTGAGAACTACGGCCCTAAAACATGATCTCACTCTGATTGCTTTTGTGCAAATTGGCTTTGTTGCCAGGCAACACGCTGGGAATTGATAACCATTAAGGTTGCCTGGTACCCAGATAAGAGGATGAGGTCTGTGTGGCACTGGTAGGTGCTCAACTTAAGCTCCAGTCACAATCACAGCAGGCTGTACTGTGGCTCAGGGTAGACAGGATATTTTAAAGTTAAAATAGGCGACGTGTGTTTTTTTTAATAGATGAAATTGGGTCTTCTATTTACCAATTTGCAATCGAGTAATATGTGGTCCACACACTCCCCGGCCAGCTCTTATTAAGTACCCACTCAAATGTAAAACAGTTTCCTTGCTCCACATCAACATTTCCCTGTGCATGCAAGGGCCCAGTGTCACTTCAATAGTCACCATCCCCTGGTCAATTTCTGCAGACGTCATGACTTGAACCCACCCACCCCGCAGCAAAGAATGCCCTCTCAGTGGACCAACTTTGAAAGATGGAAAAGGAAGAAAGAACTCTTCCAGTTAACACTGTGGTAGCCTATACCACTGCCCACAGCAGCCCCTGTCCCTGGAGGGTTCTGTCTATGAGTCCAGATTTAATTTGTATTTGACCTCACCAAGCGAGCATGTGTTCAGACAGAGCTTTAATTTGTTCTGCATAGAAACCTGTCATTGCTGAGGTCTAAACACAGCCACCTATTTCAAGTTGAGATCATCTGAACGAACACAGACACTTTCCCAGGCTGGAAAAGTCACCTGGTACCATGGCGCCTCCCTGGCAACACCAACTATAGTTTTCTAGGGCTTCTCTGCATGGAGCAATGATCAAGGGAATCTGCACCTGCATGTGAGTTCTTCCGGGTCCCTGCTTGCCTCTCCTGATCCCTGAGTCATATGCATCTCCACTACATTCTGGATTGTGCTCCTGTTTTGTTTATTTCTAACCAGAGCTTCCTTCCATCATCCTGCTGGGCTCTGTCCAAGTAAGGACTGGTGTGGGCAAGCAGACCCATCTGGTCCCGAAGGTGACTCATTCAGGGACAGCTCCTTCAGACTGACGCTGCACAGACCCACTGCATGAAGAGCCACAGCTCTGTCAGCCCCACGTGAGCCCCACTGCGGGGTGCTGTGGGGCCTCCTGCCCTGCCTGTCACAGCCACAGGCTTACATTTAGAAGCCGCTGTCACCGGTCCTCACTGGAGCCAGAGGAGCAGCTCTGGAACAAATCCCCCTTCATTTCCCAGACCAGAGGATCCTGCAGTGGAGGTGAGCACCCCAGTCACGTGCTGGAGAATCCGCTTCCTCTCTCCAGCAAGTCCCACCTTCCCGGAAGCCCCCGGAGGAGAGCAGCTGAGTGTGCTTGGTGTTGAGCCACCAGGGCCACATCTTCACTGCCCTGTGTGAGCCCCATGGCCCCATCTCCCTCGGTCCAGCTGCCTCCTCTGGAGACTGGGGAAAGGCCCCTGTCTCCCAGGGAAGAGACACTTGAATGAGGCCACTCCTGTGGTCCCCGCCAGCACGCTCCTCCTATAAGTACCTCCTTCCAAACACACCAGGGGCTCCCACAAGCTGCTCCCTCAACCCCTCTGCTCATTATGCAAAGCTAGCCCTCATCATGAGGGCCCAGCACCCACCCTCCCTGGACCGCTGCCCTCGCTCCCTAAGGGCTTCCTTTTTCATCCATGCTCCACTGTCTTCTTACAACCCGACCCAAATGTGCTCTGACCCAGAGTCAGAGCCTCTGTCTTTGGTAACATGTGACTGCGGTTCATGTTCCTGTGTCTGCTGCTGCTGATTCATTATTAACACTCCTGCCACCTGTGATTCCGGTGATGGAGAAGCAAATAGCAGGGGACACGGCCTGTCGTGTCCGGTGTCCCATGGACAGGGGGCACCTGTGACACAATAAGAACTACCTTCCGGATCTCAGGCCAGTCACAGTGCCCTCCTCAGTCACACCTACCTGCAGGACCAAGTTCCAACCCTCAGTGTGTCTGAAAAGACTCTTCCCAGCCAGTTTTCCATCTGCCTTGGATTCTCTGGATTTCAGGACACCCACAGAAACTCTGCTGCAGACACACAAACTCCCGCCCACAGCTTATCACGCTTCCTGTGTTTGCTCGGCTCTGCCCACGCCAAAGACAAATCACATTCAACGTGATTTGCAAAGCCTTGCAAAGCCTTCTGTAGATTCCCCAAAGCTGCTGGCTGTGCCTTAACTCAGTGGCTGAGAACCACTCTCGGATCACAGACACCGACGACTGTGTAAAGTGTCTCATTCTGTCAGCTTCACTTCCGGGACCTGGCAGGAGTGCGGGGAGCGAAGAGACATCTACTCACTTATTGACTTGCCGCTGTCGCTCCTGCTTGGTCCACTGTGGAGCCTTTATGGATCCAAAGAGCTGCAGATGCTCCCGGACAGTGAGGTTGTCCAGGAGGACGTCCCGCTGAGGACACACCCCCAGCTCTGCTCGGACGCTGGACAAGTCTGTCTGCAGGTTCTTGCCGTTGATGAGGATGGTTCCGGAAGTAGGAGGGTAGAGCCCAGTCAACATGGAACTGCCAGGGAAAACAGATCCAGGGAATATAAATCACTGTGGACACTGCATGTAGCTGAGACTCAGTGTCAGCGACCCAGCTGACCCCAGGTGATGTTTGCACAGCACAGACACATTCTGCCAACCCATCTTCCACCTCGCAGTGAAGAGCTGTGATGTACTTCAAGGATGCTGGCCGGTTAATCTTGGTAAGGTGTGCCTAGGATGGTGCCTATACTCTACAGGCTACACTGTGGTCACAGACTACCCAGACTTGTCGATGAAAATCCAACCTTGCTTTCATAGAGAAGAAAACAGACTAAGAAACTGACATATTTGCCAAAGTCCTCATCATTTGATATAAGCAAACAGAAAGGCCAACCTAGACTCCAAGCTGTCTCAAGCCTTTCTTCTGATCTCTGGGATCATCTGTCCCTGCCACAAGAAAAGAACCCAAGGCCTGGTCCCCAGAAAAATCACTCACCTGACTGCCCTTCAAAAAGCCTAAGCATTGCTGTTTCTGCCTCCCTATTTCAAGAAGCTTACTATTGACATTCTAAGATGATTTCTAATTTTCACAAAGTTAAGTATGCACCTACAACAGAACCTAGAAAATCCACTTCTCAGTTTTTATGCAAGAGAGATTAAACCATGTGAGGTGCCAGGGCAGGTGTACAAATGCTCATAGCAGCTGTACTCACACCCACTGAACACTGGGAACAGATTCAGTTGCCACCAACACAGGAAGTGTGAACAAACTGTAGTGCCTCCAAGGAGTAGGACACAACTTAGCAATCACAGGACTGAGCTTCCAGGAGAGGACAGCCAAGGATGGATGTGCTGAGGAGAGGAAGCCAGACAACATCCTACTGAGAGGAAGTTCTAGATTTGCAAATCAGTTTATAGTGACGGTGAGCACCTCAGCGGCCACAGAGAGCCAGGGCCAAGGAGGACAGAGGAAATCTTGGAGGAAGATAGAATGTGCCATGTTCTCACTGTGGTGCTTCTGGGAGCACGAGACACGTGTGTCCATACTCATGAAACTGCGCACATGAACAGACTCTGTCTGCTACACACAGGTTATACTTCAAGGAACTCAATTAACAAGTCTGCTGGATTATTTGCTGCCATATTTTTTGGAATACAATAAAATAGTTTATACAATGGTCCTTGAGCATCCTCTGGGGATGCTTCCAGGACCCCCATAGATACCCCGGTCTCCAGGTGCTCAAATTTCTCAAATAAGATGGTGTAGTATTTGCACATAACCTGCCCTCCTTCTGCATCCATTAAATCCTCTCCAGATTATCTAGGACACCTAATATAATTTACATATTACATAAATAGTCATCCTCTTATTTATAAAATAAAGACATGAGTCTGTACACGTTCTGTACAAATGCAATGTTCTTTCAAATATTTTTGATCCACAGCTGATTAAATCTGTGTGTGGGAGCGGTAGACAGGGAGGGCCAGCTCTCCACATTCTGCTTGAATCTCAAGGATTTTTGTTTTAAATGCCAAGGACCCTATTCATTCCTTGGACTCTCATCTAAGCCCTGCTGGGAAGACACAGGCACTTAGGGTGACTCAAAATGTGCTTTGAATGGGCACTAAAAGCAACTCAGGCCAAGAACCTTGAAATATCAGAAACCTCAAATTCAATTTGCATCGTTCTGCTAAAAAAGCACTCCAAGTTTCCCTTGTAAGAAATGTTGTGTCAGTAAAAGCAGTATGCGTAATGCTAGTTTTTCATGTTATTATTTGTATAACTTGTACTTGCCCAATTTGCAAACATACAAAAAGATAAAAACTCAGAGAGTTTTTCAGTTCTATTTCCACATCCAAAGAAACAAGAAAAACAGCTCATATTTTTCCCTACAGTCTGTTTCCAATGTGAGATTTCTAAAGCCCACTATGTATTTTATTTTTCTACCTTTTGTAATAAGATTGGGGCAAAGTCTGTTTTATTGTTTTCACTAATCATATGTTAGCTCTTTGTGATTTGTTGAGAGATGTTCTCTAATTCTGATAGGTTAGCCTTACTTAAACAAACCATCAGATTTTCTGATGAGCTGGAGGCCATCTTGTGTCTTGGGTGGGAGGAAAATACTCCATGAGACTGGATTCTTTAATCAAATCTGGAGCTTTTGGATGCTAAACCAAAAACCAAGCCTTAAGAACAAGAACACAGAATAGAACATGAAATAAAGGTGGCTGAAGAATTTGCAAATGTCCTCCCTTTCATCCTCCTTGCAGACATGCAAGCAAAATTACACTTAGTATAATGGAAACTAAAAGTGCCAAAGGCCTTTCAATGGGTAAAGCAAAGCATGATGAATTATTTGTAAAACATAAAAGAAGAACTAATTTTTAAAAGTACAGTCCATCCACCCCCACTTCTTTGACTGTAGGCCTAGAATGTACTTGTGTGATAAAGGGTCCAGGGCAGTGCTCGGGAGAGAGCTTTGTCTCTCTTGTGTTTCCTGACTGTGTAATGAGACTCTAAGGAAATAAAAAAGGAAAACAACTAAACTTCACAGTCGCACGTAAACTGATGTCTGTAGGAAGGAAATGCAGGCAAGGAGAGCTCACATGATGGTGGTCTTCCCAGCGCCGTTGGTCCCCAAGAAGGCCGTGATCTGGCCCCTGTGGAAGGTGAGGGTCAAATCTTGCACTGCCACCTTGTGGCCCTCGTACTTCTTGGTGACAGACACCAGGGCGGCTCCTGCAGGCTCCCCTCCCCCGTCTTGCTGGGATGACTCTGTGAGGAAGATGAGAATTTATCCTGATTGCCTTCTTTGCGACCGAATTCTAGCTCTGTGAAATATGCCCCATAGCTCCAACACCTTTCTTTGTTCAAAGCAAGAAGGAAGTTTGACAGTGACCAAAATGTGAAATCACAGATGATGAAGCTTCTAATTCTTGCAAAGTGAGAACCAGTTTGCAAAACAAAATAAAGAAGGCACCCACAGGTATTTGTGTAGAGGCAGAGACCAAGTAATAGGCAGGTCTATTATATAAAAAATGTCCATGGAAAATACTCTCTGGAGGGAGGAGTTTGCGGTGCTGGTTGATATGTTACACATTTTCTAAAAGGTTCGTATTTTACTTTGTTTAATTAGGAAAAAACATGACTTTCCAACATTGACACAGCACACAGCCACCATCATGGGAGCTCACTAGCTCAAGGTAGCAAATCTGTATTTACACTTAGATTTCATGAGTGGTCCTTTTGCCAAAGTGCCTGTGTGCCCAGCCCATTGGACTATCCCTGAGTGCAATGCGGAGGGACAGGGACTGTCCTGCCCTTGTCTCCTGGGAGCCTCAAACCATCCTGAAAATATCGCCATTTGTACATGGAAGAGACCCCTTCTGTTCTGCAGCTAGCAGGCTACTAAACATTGCCCAGTGCACTCCGCCTGGTAGCTGCCGACCTTTGCTTTTGTTTCTGCACATGTTCATTTTGGCTAATCCTTCATTTTTAAAAAATTCTTAGATATGCACAAATGCAAAAATTATAGAGAAGAACACCCTAAATAATGATGCAGACAACAGAACCAGGGGACCCGGTTTTAAAATGTAACCCTGTCACTGTCTTTGAGACAGAGAAAGCCTCAAAGTGATCTCTAGGAATCAGTACCAAGTTACAAAGGCTCATGTAGAAGCAAAAAACTGCCCAGACTGGGAGGGGACACCATGTATTCGACAGTATTATTCCTTTACAAACCTTTACTGCCAGAGTCCTCGCTGAAGAAGAACAGGCTAGGACTTAGAGAACGCCACTGGTTTCCCACCAAGCCACACACGCTCTTCCAGTATGCCGCAGTTAGAGGGAAATACCACGGTTTCCGCAAACCGAAAGCTCCTAAACGATAAGATACAAGCAAAACCAGTGGAATTGTATGTCTTTCTATTGAGATGAGAGTTCTATAATATTTTGTATTAATTCAAAACTTTCCTTCTTTGTTTAGTATATATTTGTGACACATAATGAACAAATTCATCACGGGGAATTAATACCAATACATTGTGCATATTGATCCTCTTTAAATGTTACTGAACATTCTCAACATGCACCCCATATGCAAACTAGCAACACCCTGGGAATAGCATGTCAGCCCTGAGGGGAGCCCCCTATCTCTGTCCTTAGCCTGAGTTGGGCTGTCTACTAGCACCCCCACATCCATCCCCCCAAGATGCTCAGAAAGGGAGTCAGTGAACTTTTTTGAATAACTGTGGAATATTCCCCAGAATAAAGTCTCACCCCCCACAGTACCACCCTATCTTGCTATACAGCTCTTCTTTGCCTATCTTTGATGTCTGCATGGATTGCTAGATAAGAGAAAGAGCATGAAGTAAGTGCATCAAAGAATTAATCAATTAAAACTTCCGCAAAGAAGAATAATTCATAACACTAACATTTCCGAATGAAGCCCATCAACATTCTTCAAACGTATTCCCCAAATTCATTTTAGTCCATTTTAAGTCACTTTGCCCTTAATATATGTCAGAATGAAAGGGGGTTTAATTATTAACGCTTCCCCATTTTCTTTAACACGTCCATTCTAGGTTAAGATTGATGAGCGGAACTTACCTAAAGGCCTAAATTCTACAAGTGATTCAGTAAGAAAGACCCTCATGAATACTATTTTATTACCTTGACCATCAAGCAAAGGAGACATATATAACCATTTACACTTTCTAATCAGAGTATTCAAAAAATGATCACATATTCAAAGGAAAACGTATAGACTCATCACCTCTAGAAAGAGAGGGGAGAGTGTAGAGCTGTTTGGGGGTCCAGTGTTGAACACTGGCCACGGGCTGGCCTGTGTCCCCCCAAATTCACATGGTGAAGTGCTAACCACAAGCATTTCTTGCAAAACAGCACCGAATTTGGAAAGACGGCCCTGACAGAGGTGGTTAAGATATAATGAGCTGAAAGGGTGGGTCTGAATACAAACATGACTTGTGTCCTGAGCAGAGGAGATCAGGATGCAGTTACACAGAGGGCTGACCATGTAAGGACATGAAGGGAAGACAGCCATGGGCCGTGCAGAGAAGCCCACTCTGCTGATAGCTTGGATTCCCAGCCTCCAGGACAATAAGACAATGATACCTGTGTTTCAACCACCCAGCATGTGATATTTCATCACAGCAGGCCAAGAAAACAACTGCAGGCAGATGCTCTTGAAGACCCTAACAAACCACGCCCCATTCCTTTGACCAGGATATCAGGTTGCATCATGGTGGCAGACCATAGGCGCTGTCCCGGACACTGTCCAGGGTCCTGATTGTATTAATCCACACAGCTCTGCAACCTTTGATTTGCCAGCCCTATTGTCACATCTCCCTTCCTACCGGAAAGGGAAGACAGTGAGGTCTGCCCAAGAAGGCACTGCTGGTGGCTCCCGAAGCCTCACCCTAGCTGACCTCTTTCTCATTACTCATGGGAACACAGAGGCGCCGCAGCCAGGGGACAGCAGCGGAGTCCTCTCACACACTAGCCCTCGCCTCACACAAGCAAGGAGCCTCACCTCTCTTGAGCACCTCATTTCCCTTAGATGCCAGTTACAGCAGGAGCCCCTATCCACATGCATGCGTGAAAATACAATCGCAGGGATAAGAGGAGACAATAAGCACACACAGGAGGTCATTCTGGAAGTGCTCGCCATTGCTTTGCTCTCCTGCTTGCTGCAGAAGCAGTTTTCCCCCAAGGAACCTTGCAGGTGGCATGGACATGTGTCCCACCGGGAACAGGAGTGTAAGGGGCATTGCCTTCACAGAAGAAAGTCAGTGACACCTGTTACGGACTTGCTTTGTAGATTTTGAATTAAGATTAAAAGTCTAGGAACCTACATGACAAAACGATGGGGATGGTGACATACATATGATTGGAAATTATTTAAACTTGCAAAGGACAAGCAAGGTACAAGAAATTATTACTTTCATTCCATGAGATATTGAACAGCTAGTTTCAAAGATGTGGGTAAATGCATACGATGACATTATTTTTTAAAATAGAGGAAATTTTATAGACACAGTATGAACCCAATTATATACCAAAAGGTATCTCAAAGCCAAAAAAAAATGGGAGAGATATTTTTAGTCCTCGGTTACCAAGGGTGGAGATAATTGGATTTCCTTCCTGTTTCTTTATAAATGTGAGCTCTTCTCAGACATTTTATAATAAACCTAGATCCATCCAATGCATTACAGCTCAAGTTTTCAGAATCAGCAAGAAGACAAGAACAGTTCCTATGTGCAGACATGAAACTAGGTGCCCTTGCCTGTTCTGAAGCAATCAGTTGAGGATCTTCATGTCCTGGATGCCCCCAAGAGAATCTTGAAGCCAGACCTCAGCTCTGTTCCACTTCAACTTAAGAAAAAGTCACCCGAAGATAGATGAAATCTCAGAAATATCTTTCAATGTTCGGGTCATCACTCAAGGAGCTGATCGCCCTACACACATGTGCACACAGGCTCACACATGATATACACACAAGCACACATGCATATGCGCACACACCAGCACATTTCCAGCAACTCCAGGAGCGCTGGAGGAACCCTGCCGTGCACCTCAGGCGTTGTCATTATCGGTCACCATCTCGATCGCCTTCCCCTCAGCCCTGATGCAGAGCAGAAGCATTGCTGGGAATGGATAAGCGCATGGCTACCCAGCGCACGGCAGCACAGGAGGAGCTGGCTCTTCACACAGGGGTCAGTGTTCCAGCCAGCACCCAAGGACACACAGGGAGGCGAGGACTCAGCACCTGGACGGGGAACCAGAAGAGGTGGCCAGAGCCCAGAATACCCTACACCTGCCGTGCCGTAACCCAGTTTGCACTCTCTATTCCAGAGAGGTGTTGGTCAGGGGCAGAAGAAACCAGTCCCCCCGGTGGTACATGGGCCTCACAAGTGATGAGACCTGGGCCTCATCCTCTTACAACCTCTGTTCTAGTGGACACCACCAGCCAAAGTCACTGAGAGGAACGGGCGGTGACAGGCACTATAATCACAGAGTTTGCACCCAGAACAGAAGCAGGCCCGTGGAGCAGAGGGAGAGATTCCAGAAAGAAAAGGCAGACAGGGACAGGAAGAGGTTGCTAGGCTTACAGAACATAAACACAGGATGCCCAGTTAAGTTTGCGTTCAGGCACACAACAATGTTTTATTCTGCCTATGTCCCCAAATCCTTTGCAGTTCATCTGAAATTTGAATCTTATTGAATGTCCTCATTGGGGCACGGGGATTTAGCTCAGCAGCACAGCGCCTGCCTGGCAAGCTCGAGGTCCTGAGCTCAATTCCCAGTACAAAAAAAAAAAAAAAAAAAAGTAATCTGGCTATGGGATCATGGTGGTACCAGACCACCATAGGGGGACTGCCCTCTCCCTGCCAGAGTGACTGCCGCAGAGAGAAGGTGGGTGCCGCTGTGGGGGAGGGGGCTTGCCCAGGACAAAGGCTTTTACTCTGTAGCATCTTGGAGTCCAGGAGAACACCTAGGTAGAAGAGAGACGGCATCGATCTGGTCTGTTTCTAAGAACCTGATCTTCAGCCTGCCAGGCAGTAAACAGGAGGTGGAAGGAGGGAGGCAGTTACCTAGCAGCACCGGAAGGAGTTCCTAGAGGGCAGGGCGGCCCAGGGCTGGTACCAGGAGGCCTGAACTAGGGCCACAGCTTCAGAAACAAGAGGGAAGGCAAAGTAAGAGGCTTTTCAGAAGTACGAAAAAAGAAAATAGAGATAAATTGAAAATTAAAGATTTGTTTGCTAAGTAAGCTGTCTTGGGCTAATCTGTCCGTGTTTTCTAAATAGCATTAACTAACCCATTAATCTAACTGAAGCAAACCCCGGGCAAATCCCTGGGTGTGTGGAGCCTCCTTCACTCCCCTCTGCAGTCTGCCTTTGCTCACAAATCCGAGCTTGTTATGTGTGCGCTATCTGAGCCCACGCACCCCCTCCCACTGCCAGATGTAATTGGGCACATTAATATGTGCAAAGGCCCTTGGTCTCCTCCGAGTTTTTCTCCTCTGGGGAAACTGCCTGCTGGCTTACGGAGGCCAGGAAACTAATTAGCACCCCCACCAAAAAAACTGACAGTGATAAAAGAAAAAGTCAGTGAAATTAGACAGATTGAGCAGAATCCAATTTAATTGGAAACACATAAAAAAGACTTTATGAAACAAAAACTCTTGGAGAGGACCAGACGCTTGCGGGCCAGCTCTGAGCAGCTGGGGAATTCTCCTGTGCCCCACCCCTGTGGGGCTGGGGGTGCTGGGGTCACACTGTGCTGTGATGTGATTTAGCAAAGATGGGAAAAATAGAGGGAAGCATTTATCTGCATGAAGCTTGCTGTGTGTGTGTATGTGTATGTGTGTGTGTGTGTGTGTGTGTGAGAGAGAGAGAGAGAGAGAGAAAGAGAGAGAGAGAGAAAGAGGATTTCTCACCTTCCATACAGGGACACCCTTTACCCACAGGACACTTGCAAATAGTGATTCTCAACATGATGAAAAGCTATCAGGGTGTTTTAGAAACACGGGAAGTGTCGCTTTCAGTTGGCACCCGGAATGGCTGTTTTCTAAACATGCTTTATTTTTATTCGTGGATGAAGTGGCCAACAGATCCAGAGAGAATGCTGCCATTACAAAGCCAGGTTGTTACTCACAGCTCCCAGAGGAGGGAGGACAGCGTGCCACGCAGGGCCACCTGGAGGAGCTCTGGGTGGACCAGGGACTGAGGGAATGACAGGGAAGGGCTCTGAGCCTGTTTGTGATTTCCAAGGGAAGGAACAGGAGGGGAAGGAAAGTCCAGCACTGACGAGATGGTATAAGCTGCAGACTGCCAGAAGGTCTGCCCCCAGGCATCTGG